AAATTATTCTTTATGTTTACTCCATGTTATATTCACTAAAGTAATTTGTTGTAATTGTTTACATTACAGAATTCTCCATCTCACACTATGCCACTAGCCTACAAAGGCAAGTAAGGAAATCTGGATTTCAGTGAACACCTCTGATGATTATTTGGTGCACTATATGCTTAAAACCACTGCCCAAGCCAATTGGCCAATACAGTGATCTATTTATAAATATATAGCATAAAACCAAATTTTACCATTCTATTTGATAATCCATAACCATGTTTAATGCAATTAGAAAATGTAGTTTAAATTTTATTTCTATATAGTAGCCAATACATACAAAATTAACTATGTAATAGGTGCTTTTCTAAGTGGTATGTATGAACTCACTGAAACCTCACTATAATTCTGAGGTGATTACTATTATTGTTACCAGTTTACAGATAAAGAAAATGAAATCAGAAAACATTACATACTTGCTAAAGATTGCATCTCTTTCAAATCTGGCTGCAGTCTATTCTTATGAACTATACAATACTGTTTGTAATAGATAAAGAAACATGTATGTTATATAGTAAATATTATACATATAAAATATCTGAAATTTGATAAAGTTGTTATGTACCATAGAAGACATAAAGTGTCAATTAGGTGATTATAGGAAAAACCAACACATCCTGTTCAGCCTTTTAGCTAATTCCAAAATGGAAATCACTACTTCTTAGAAACAGAAAATACACTCAGCCATTATGCAACTCAACTGCTAGTTCATGTAAATTAGGTGCTTGCTACAATTATTACTCATGAAAGACTGTCTGGTTTAAGATAAATATTTTGAGAATTAGGGTTAATATATTTCTCATTATATTCATAAAACTAGAGAAACTCCAAAAGACACACTGGGCCATGAATCTTAATCAGTGTTATTTAAATTGGAACCATTATTTTTATAAACTCCATTCAAGAGTTGTTTAAATTATCTGATTTTATATATGTAAAACATTCAAATTCATCCAAATAGAATGACCGTGCTATTCAGTAGCTTGTGTGAATGTGTTAACTCAAAGGCTGTGTCACACTATTTTTATTATTTTATAGTCATTATTTATTGGTCAAATCTATTTATTTATTTATTTTTTGGTGAATGTTTCACTGTGGTATGAAGTTATTTCCATCATCTTCTACAGGCAAAGCACGTCTTATACCTTATCTCATATAAGCCTCATAACAAACTAAAAAGTAGATATTGCTTTGAGATGAATGTACCAAAGCTCAGAAAGTGACTTATGAAGCTGATCACATAGCAAGTAATTTTCAGATCTTGAAAAGAAAAAAGATATTTTTGACAGAAAATTGGTATTTTTTTGAAATAGACTATTTCATAGATGATGATGATGACAGATAGATAGATGGCTATGGCTAGAAATATAGGTGAACAACCCGTGTGTGTGTGATGTGTATATGGTTTGTATGTTACATATCACATAAATATTATTCACATACTGAATTCAGGAACTACTTATGGAATAACAATTTACCTTCATTTCTAAAAAAAAAAGAATATGAGTCTTATTTATTCTTTAAGCAAACTTTCATGGGTAATTTACTCTGTGCTGGCAATATGCTAGGTGTTGAAAATAATCTTGAACCATACTGAAAAGGTCCCTGTTCTAAAGGCTGATATTCTTGAGAGGAAATACAGGGATAATAATCATAGAATTAATATTAAACTTTGTTGTTTTATGCAGAAAGAACAAAGGATTCTTTAAATACATACATACATACATACATACATACATACATACATACAGCAAGCAGGCAAGGTCTCTCCAAGGAGATGGCATGAGGCTAACACCCCATTACAGGAAGCCAGGTTTATGTCCCTAACTTTCTAAGGCAAAGGCTGGTACACAGTTTCTGAAGCAGAAGTCAGTCTGGCTCATTTCCAGGATTCAAAATAAGGTTGATTTTAATCGAACTTAGTGGTCAAAGAAATACAGCTGTCTGTTTAGATGAAATATTTTATCACACTTGTCTTCACACTGGAAAACCATGGGAAGAAGAAATGCGAGTAACAGAAAAGTTACTAGTTTGCAAAAGAAGAACATTATAAATTCACATTTTCTATATATATAATTTATATTTTTTATATGAAAGAGAAAAAAGATTCATGTTGTAGTTATGCCTATCAGGATGCAACCTAACAGTTAAGCTCAGAAAAATTTTATTGTTTCTATTATATGATAGCCTTTGTAGGAAAAATTGTGTAAGAAAATACAGCAAATGATGAAAAGAGACAACTATGTAAATGACAATTATTACAGTTGTCAAGGTATACATATATATATATTTCTGAAGAAGAAAAAGGATGAGAAAAAGTTGATTTCTTTGGCCTAGGTTGGGCCTTAGACAATATTAGAACGATCAAAAAAACTATCCATTATTTTTCATCAATTTAAATTTGCTACAGATTTTTATGTAGTCCGTCAACCACAATTTTTGCACCATAGAAGCTACTGTCTACCTATGAACACTAAAGACATAAACATAATACTTATTTTAGTATTATTTTCCTAAAATGGTAGTGAATGGAGACTGAAAAGAATAGGAAGAGAACTGATAGGTATTTTCCTAAGAACAATGGAGATACTTAGAGCTTTGAGAAGGAGAAAATCCTACATACATAATGACTTGAGAAATGAAAAGAAAACAGTAGCTATGAATTCACTCAATTTCAAAAAGCTATCCTAAGCATAGAAAAAAGAATTGAAGAATAAATGGTACAGGATAGCTAAGAAGACCAGAAGCTATTACCAGAAGCAAGAGATGTGAACTATAGCTCTTCTGCTGACCTCAGGCACCGAATTCCATTTGGATAATACATTCAATATTGATGAGTCTGTTTTCCTTTCATTGACTTTCTGCCTACAATGTACTTTTGGGATTTTAAGCTAACAAGTACTATGAAAACTGAACTTGGAATCTAGGGCATAGTTGGACAAATCAATCATACACAGAAACACAGAAAAGTACCCTGCTTACTAGAAAAAAATCCATAATTCCATTTCACAAGGCAAAAAACAATATCTAAATGACCTTTCCAAATAGGTCAAGTGAATAAGCTATATATATATATATTTCTTTCCTTAGGTTTTAAGCAATTGCTATGCAACCTAAAGAAAAAGGCTAAGATGATGTTTTATCTGCCCATAGCAGCTAGTACATTCATGGATTCAGTCAGATATAAATAAGGACACTAGAGCGAAATAGATGAAAGTGAAGCATGTAAGAACTGTCAGCTGAACTTATGATACCACTTGACAAACTCAACTGTTCAGTAACTGGAATGTGAAAAGAGGTGACTTTTGTAGTATACCTGCTCTCAGAATTTATAGGAAGACAGGCTCATATTTGAGGAAAACAAGATACAGATTTTGTGGAAAATTAGGAAGAGAGACAATAATCATTAGCACTTTCTGATCTGTTCTAACATTAGTACTGAAGACAAAAAAGTAGAGCAAAAAGTTTCTTAGAATTTTGAGTCAAACTGATAGAGGTGATGATGACAAGGCAGAAAACTAAACTAGGAAAATAAAATAAGTGAAACTGGTATACATCTGGCCATCACTATGAGATGGTTTAAATTTAATGTAGAGAAAAGCTGACAACAAAAGGTGGTATGTTTTACAGGTAACAAAAATAACAAAATAAACTATGTAATTTTAAAGAGTATTTTTAATAGCTAAAGATTTTGTTAAACAATAAAGTTGAACTCATAAAAAAATTTTATTAAAGCAACATATGTACTATAAATTATATGAATAATAAAAAAACCAAAGCAAGTTAAATATACCAGCTTTTGAATGCACCAAATCAAAAAGTTCATGGCAGCATTCTTTTCAAAGAATAGTGTTATAATAATTTAATTTAACAATAATAAAATCATTTATTAATTTCTCTAGCAAATATAGATTAAGGTTTATACAAAGAGCTTGCAACTCATAATTGTGTTTATTAATAATATAAACATAATAGAAAAATATAAACATGGCCAATAATATTTCTATATTTATATATGTATGTAAATATATATGTTTGTATTTATTTGACTAAATTGCTAAAACTTTCATTAGCATCTTCTAGATACACATGTGGATTATGCTTTTTGATATGCTCTTCTTGAAAAAATCATCCCAATTAGCATTATACTGAAATTTGAATAAAAGACAAACATTTTATTAGAGCAAACATATGTACTATAAATATTTATTGAACTTTGAAATAGGCTAACTCCAAGAGTCATTATTCATTTTTGGTCAGTTCATTTCTTGTGTGTGTGTGCGTGTGTGTGTGTGTGTGTATGTATTTGTGAGTGTGTGTGTGCCTTCTCAGAATCTGAAGGTTTTGCCTTTCCTTGTTAATTTCAAAGTATTCTGATTGTTAGATGTTTGAGTCAGACAAATTTGAAAACTTGAATGTATAATTATCCCTGGCTCATAATGAATTCATTGAAAGTGTCTATGTAAATTAATATTATTAATATTTAATTAAAATAAACTTTGCATTATGAAATAAATATATATGAAAGTGATAGCAAGATATATAAGAATGCTAGCCATAGTAAGATACGATATTAAGAAAACCTATATAGTTATGCTAAATCTTACATTTTCAATATTTTTATTGATATTTGGGAGATTATTATGAGCATTGCTTATTTTAGTTATTAAAAATGTATACAAATACTGGAATTATTTTATAAATGGAAAGAAAATTCTTGGCTATGCTTTTATTTCTTTACCAATCTTCCTCCTGAGAACATTTTTTATTTTTTTTCTCTTAGCCTGGTGAACTACTATTTAACCTTCAAGTCTCAGTTTGTTTTCTTATTTTTGAATTTTTATTTCTAACCTTACCTTTCTCTTCTCTATGCTAAAATAGTAATTTGTTACCTATTTTAATAAAAAGATGTTTATTTAAAATTATTTCTTTTTAATATTCCTTATACTTACCTGAAAGAAGTGCAGAGTCTCTTTCACTCAATTTCTGACACAAGTTTCAAAAATCTTGCTAGATTATTAATTTAATTTTTCTTGTCTTCTAAATTAAAACACTTTTGCTGAGTGACAGCAGAATGGCCGCATAATATCATATGCCTGTCCAATGAGAATAAAACAAAGATTAAACATCAAAATTAATATTTTTAGAACTATTTTAAAAAAACAAAGAATTGTAACTATTCTGAGAGTTGTTTTGATAAAAATAATAAATCTTTGTAAAAATATTGAGTTTTGTGGCATTTTAAATAGTCCCTTATTATTCTTCTTCTTGACCAGGTTCCATGGTGACCTAGCAAAACAACATGAAAAACAGAAACCTAGATGTTATTGGAGGAAACAAAATAAGTTTAGTCCTGTCATTTTCTGAGAGAATTAGTTTTGGTATTCTATTACATAGTATGGTGACTACAGCAAATAACAAAGTAGTAGAGCTAGATAGTTGGAAGAAAAGATTTTGAATGCTGCCACCACAGAAAAAGATAAATAAAGTGATGAATATAGTGAATACACCAATTTGGCCATTATACTATATATACACATGTAATGAAATATCACAATGCACCCCACAAATGTTTTAAAATTGTAACGTAAAAATGTATCACATTGGCCAGGAGCTGTGGTTCACGTGTGTAATCCCACCACTTTGGGAGGCTAAGACTTTTGGATCACCTGAGGTCAGGTGTTTGAGACCAGCCTGGCCAACATGGTGAAACCAGGTCTCAACTAAAAATACAAAAAATTTAGCTGGGCATGATCACGGGTGCCTGTAATCCCAGCTACTCAGGAGGTTGAGGCAGGAGAATTACTTGAATCTGGCAGGTGGAGGTTGCAGTGAGCTGACATTGCGCTACTGCACTCCAGCCTGGGCAACAAAAGTGAAATCCTGTCTCATTAAAAAACAAAAAGTATTGTAATATTATGTGTCAATTATCAATAATAATTAGCTTTAAAATTAATTACTAAATCTTCCCAAATACAATACAAAATTTATCTATCCATAAAAATCTCAAAGAACTTTAAATAAGAAAACCTCAAAAAGATTGTCAGATACATTCAAAATTAAACTGTCAAGAGGCAAAAATGAATCTGAAATCAGAAAGAAATTATTATGAACAAGAAATACACAATAAAATAAATAACTAATTTCTTATTAGACACTACAGAGGACAGAAGGTAGTGATATGCCATATTAAAGGTGAGTGATGAGATAAAAAGACTGACAACTAATAATCTTATATCCAGTAAAATTATTTTCTAAAAATATAGAAAAAATAAGACACTCTGGTATGACAAAATTAAAAACAAAAAATTGTGGCTAGCACTTCCACCTCCTCCACAGAAAATACCAAAAAGAGTCCTTTAGGCAGAAAGAGCAGAACATTGGAAAGTCAGTTTATTTATCACAGAAATATTAACCTCCCCAATAATGTGTCTAAATATGTAAATATAAAAGACATAATATTTTGTTAAAATAATTTTTTCTCAGTTACTTAAAGTTAGCTACATAAATATGAGTTTAATATCAGCTAATAACTGAGTTCATGGATTTATAATGTATAATGATGTATTTGTTGGACAATAATATTACTAAGAACAGGAAAGAAAATAAACCTATACAAATAAAGGGGTGGTGTTGTTTTAAAATTAACTTTGTTTGCTTCCATACTAGATTGTTTACATTAGAATGGTAATGATAGATGTGGGACCATTAAAAATAATAAATATTCTAAGAGACATGACAAGGATTTTAAGACCATACTCTAGAAAATAACTACTTAATATAAAATAAAATGTTAAGAGAAGGCTATTAAAGAGCCATAAAACAGAGAGGAAAAAATATTTTAAAAAGATAGAAAATGAGGTATGTTCTACATTATGATGAATTAAGCATATGTATATAGAACAAACATTAAAATGAAAGGTGGAGGTAGGAAATATAAATTTTAAAAATGATACAACTATATTACTATACAAGAATACATTTTAGATGCAAACTCAACTAAGTTGGAATACTGTTTACTATGCGAACAGTAACTAAAAGAGATAAGAGATGGCTATTCTAATATTAGACAAAATGAACTTTAAGATGGAAAGTATTATCAGAGAAAAGTTATAATGATTAAATTACTAATGACAATTTATAATAATAAAAGGATCAAATACTTAGGAAGACATAACTATTAAAAGCATGTATGACTCTGTCATCAGATCCACAAGTCAGCTGAAATAAAACTTGATGCAATTAAAGAAATAATATACAGTATATCAATAATGATTGTTGATTTCAGTACCCCATATTTTATAATAATAAAAAGAGAAAAAATTAACATAGATATTAAAGATGTTAAAACAAATCTTGTCCTCAGGATAAAACCTATTGTAAGCAACAAATAAATTCTCAATCAATATTAAGATTTGAACTCACACCATATATGGTCTACAAAGAAAACAGAATAAAATTAGATGTCAATGAAAACATAAATTTCAGAAACTTATAAGTATGTTTAAATATTATTCAACAATGTACTTTTTAATATGCAATGAGTCACACAGAATCACAATCAAAATTGAAAAATAATTGGAGAGGAAGATGAAAATACAATATACTAAAGAAATTAAGCTAAAGTGGTATTAGATGCTCATGTATACCTCTAGAAATTATAAATCAAATCTATGACCAGACTTCCACTGTAAAATTAATTAAAAAGAAGAAACCTGAACCAATGTTATAACAGATTACAGTTAGAAAAAGGAAAATATAAAACAATTATAAAATTTTTAAAAAGGGTCATTGTTTCAAAAGACTAATACAATTTACAAAATTTAACTAGAATTACCAGGATAAAAAGAGTAGGTTCATAATACTAAAACTTAGAAAGAGGAAGTATTATCACCTTAAAAAATATATAAATATATAATATATAGATACATATGTAAACACATATATTTACACACACACACACACACACACATATGTGTATATATATACAAATGTCCATTTTTTTGCTGCTAATAAAAACATACCCAAGACTGGAAAGAAAAAGAAGTTTAATGGAGTTAGAGTTACACATGGCTGGGAGGCCTCACAATAATGGCAGAAGGCAAGGAGGAGCAAGTCATGTCTCACATGGATGACAGCAGGCAAAGAGAGAGAATTTGCACAAGGAAACTGCTCTTTTTAAAATCACCAGATTCTGTGAGACTTATTTACTTTTGTGTGAACAGCATGAGAAAGAACCACCTCCATGATACAATTACCTTATGATTCGACTCTGAGTCCCTCTTAAGACACATGAGAACTGTGGGAGTTACAATTCAAAATAAAATGTGGGTGGGGCATAGCCAAAGAATATCATTCTGTCCTGGCCTCTTCCAAATCTCATGTCCTCACATTTCAAAACCAATCATCCCTTTCCAACAGTCTCCCGAAGTCTTAACTCATGTCAACATTAACTCCAAAGTCCACAGTCCAACATCTCATCCGAGACAAGGCAAGTCCCTTCCACTTATGAGACTGTAAAATCAAAAGCAAGTTATTTACTTCCCAGATATAGTGGGAGTACAGGCATTAGGTAAATACAGCCATTCTAAATGGGAGAAATTAGCCAAAACAAAGGTGCTAGAGGCCCTGGCAAGCCTGAAATCCAGTGAGGCAGTCAAATGTTAAAGTTTCAAAATGATCTCCTTTGACTCATGTCTCTCATCCAGGTCACACTGATTCAATTGGTGTGTTCCCATAGTTTTGGATAGCTTCACCTCTGTAGCATTGCAGCGTACAGCATTCTCTCTAAGCTGCTTTCATGGGCTGGCATTGAGTGTGTGTGGCTTTTCCAGGCACACAGTGCAAGCTGTCAGTGGATCTACCATTCTGGGGTCTGAAAGACAGTGGCCCTTTTCCCACATGTCCACCAGGAGGTGCCCCAGTAGGGACTCTGTGTGGGGGCACTGCTCTAGCAGAAGTTCTTCATGAGAGCCCCACCCTTGCAGCAAACTTCTGCCTGGACATCCAGGTGTTTCCATACATTCTCTGACATCTAGGTAGAGGTTTCCAAGACTCAATTCTTGACTGCTGGGCACCCACAAGCTCAATACCATGTGGAAGCTGCCAAAGCTTGGGGCTTGTACCCTCTAAAGCCACAATCAGAGCTGTACCTAGGCCATCTTCTGAAGCCACAACCAGAGCTGTCACAGCTGGAGTGGCTGGGACACAGGGCACCAAGTTCCTAGACTACAGATAGCACAGGTGACTTTGGGCCCAGCCTACAAAATCATTTTTTCCTCCTAAGCTTTCAGACTTGTAATGGGAGGGGCTGCTGTAAAGACTGCTGACATGCCCTGGAGACATTTTCCTCATTGTCTTGGGGATTAACTTTCAGTTCTTTGTTACTTATGCAAATTTCAGCACCTCGCTGGAATTTCTTCTCAGAAAATGGAATTTTGTTTTCTATTGCATTGTCAGGCTATAATTTTTCCCTTTTATACTCTGCTTCCCTTATAAAACTGAAAGCCTTTGACAGCACTCAAGTCACATCTTGAATTATGTGCTGCATAGAAATTTCTCCACCAGAAACCCTAAATCATTTCTCTCAAGTAAAGTATTTCACAAATCTTTAGGGCAGGAGCAAAATGTTTCCAGTTCCTTTGATAAAACATAGCAAGACTAACTTTTGCTGTGATTCACAACAAATTCTTCATTTCCATCTGAGACTACATCAGCCTAGATTTTATTGTCCATGTCATTATTAGCATTTTGAGCAAAGCCATTTAGTAAGTCTCAATGAAGTTTCAAACTTTCCCACATTTTCCTATCTCCCCTTGAGCACTGCAAACTGTTTCAACCCCTTCCTGTTACCCAGTTCCAATGTCGCTTCTACATTTTCAGATATTTTTTCAGCAGTGCCCCACTCTACTGGTACCAACTACTGTATTAGTTCATTTTCAGGCTGCTGATAAAGACATACCCTAGACTGGGAAGAAAAAGTGGTTTAACGGAGTTACAGTTTCAAATGGCTGGGAAGGCCTCACAATCATTCTGGAAGGTAAGGAGGAGCAAGTCACATCTTACAAAGATGATGGCAGGCAAAGAGAGAGTTTGTGTAGGGGAACAACTCCTTGTAATATCATCATATCTAGTGAGACTTATTCACTATTGTGAGAACAGCATGAGAAGGACCTGCACCCATGATTCAATTACCTTCTGCTCTGTCCCTCCCACAACATATGGGCACTGTGGGAGTTACAACTCAAGATAAGATTTGGGTGGGGATAACAGCCAAACTTTACACACACACACACACACACACACACGCACACACACACACATCAATAATGGTTGCTGAATTTAGTGCCCCACATTTATATATATATATGGCTTCCCAGCCGCACCAAAGATATATAAACAATGACTACAAGGGACAGTTATACAACTTCTATTAATGACTTCAATGCAGTGCAAATATTTCTAGAAATATAAACTACCAAAATTTATTCATCATAAAGAGAAAATCTAAAAGACCTTTAATAAGCCAAAATGGCAAAGTAGAAGCCGGTTGATTTTGTTCCCCACAACCCAACTACAGAAAATCAAAACCAAATATTATTGCTAGGATTATCACCAGTAATATTCCAAAACTTAAATATGAGGAGAAGGCAGTCCCTGGCAACACAGAGAAGTGAAAACATCAGGAGCATATGGTAAGAGAATCAGACTTTTATATCTGCAACATTCTTTCCCCAGTCTGCCAAGCACCAAGCATGCAGAAGGTACCCGAACCCCCAACTCATGGTTACTACATGAGAAAAAAGTAGATCCAGGAAGACATCAGCTTCTACATCTTGGATTCCCTGACAGAAAACCTATCCTTGCCTAAACCCACAGGCAACATTTTGAGTGCCTGAAGAAAGAAACTTCTTGAGGACAGCTAGACAGAGGGGAGAAGGTGGGACAGTATTTCCATGCAGGAAAACTCTCATCTGTGTTTTGGCCAAAGAAGTTAACACAGAGTGGCTGTCTAGCAGCACCATGCTATAGGAGGTTAAGGTTCAGGCTCCGTGACTCATGCCTTTAATCCCAGCACATTTGGAGGCCATGGTGGATGGCTCACTTAAGGTCAGGGATTCAAGGCCAGCCTGGCCAACATGGTGAAATCTCATTTCTAATAAACATATGCCTGTGCACCAAATTACCTGGACGTGGTGGCACACACCTATAATCCCAGCTACTCAGCAGGCTTAGGTGGAAGAATCACTTACCTAGAAGGCAGAGGTTGATGTGAGTTGAGATGGGGCCATTGCAATCCAGTCGGGACAACAAGAGCAAAACACTGTCTCAAGAAAAATAAACAAATAGGAAGTAAGTTTCACAAGTCCCATAGGCACAAACTCCTAGCCAGTTTCCCCACACTGCCAGAATATTCCCTGTGGGACTTCTACCATTCAGGCTGGACAGTGCTTTTGTTTGCTAGAGCTGAGGTAAATACAGGGTAAAGGTGCCATCTGGTGCTGAAGAGGAGGTAGTGACCTTGCAAAAATATATTCAACAGGTATATTGCAAATAAATCTATATACAGACATATCCAATAACAGAAACAAGCCAAACAGCGGAAACTGGAATAAATAACTAATCCTTCAGTGTGAAGACATAGAAGCAAATGCACAATAAGAATATGAAGCAGGGAACTAAAAAATCCAAAACTTCCCAGACAAACAAGGAGACAAGACAGTGACTCTAATGGGAGTATGAAAGGCAAGCTCTCTGATCAAAAATTAAAAGTAGCATATTTAAGGAAACTCAGTGATCCACAAAATAACAAAGGAACGCAACAGAAATTTATCAAAGAATGTAACAAAGATTGAAATAATTTAAAATATAAAACAAATCTTGGAAGTAAAAAATATATTTGCTATAATGAAAATTTTATTACAGGCTCTCAACAGCAAAGTGGATCAATCAGAGGAAAGAAATAGTGAGTCTGAAGTTAGGATATTATAAAATACACAGAGGAAAAAAAGTGAATGAAAAAGAATAAAGAACTCATGCAGGATATAGATAATTAAATTACCTCAAAGAGAAAATTTAAGAATTATCTGTATTTGGCCAGGCGTGGTGGCTCATGCCTGTAATCCAGCACTTTGGGAGGCTGAGGTAGGCTGATCATGGTCAGCAGTTTGAGACCAGCATAACCAACATGGTGAAACCCCGTCTCTACTAAAAATACAAAAATTAGCTGGGAGTGCCTGTAATCCCAGCTACTCAGGAGGCTGAGGCAGGAGAATCACTTGAATCTGAGAGTTGAAAGTTGCAGTGAGCTGAGATCTTGCCACTGCACTCCAGCCTGGGCCATGGAGTGACACTCCATTTAAATAAAAAAAGAATTACAGAATTATTTGTATTCAAAATAAAGCTAAGGAAGATAAAGGAATAAAAATTTAATTCAAAAAATAATAACAGAAAATGTTTTAAAATTTGAGAGATGTAAACATCCAGGCACAGGCAGGTAAGTGACTGTTGGAATAAACCAAATAAAAGTACATAAAGGCATGTAATAATCAAACTCCCAAATGTCAAGGGGAAAGAGGATTCTAAAAGCAGCAAAAAATAAGAAGCAAATATACAAAGGGGCTCCAATTTGTCTGGGTAAAAACTTATCAATAAGTAATATTCCTCCAGAAGGATGGAATGTGATACCATGTTCAAGTTGCTAAAAAACAAGACTGCCAAACACTAGTTTAGTGTTTAGACACGTTATCATTGAAACATGAAGGAGAGATAGTCTTTCCAAACAAAAGCTGAGGGAATTCTTTACTAATAGGCCAATCTTAAAAAAAATGCCACGGAGTTATTGAATCTGAAAACAAATCCTAATAGGCAAATATAAACCACTTCAAGGCATAAAGCTTGGTGGTAAAAGCAAATATTGAAAAAAAAAAGAACTCAAAATATTCTAACACTATGATTATGTGTGTAAGCCACTCATAATTTTAGTATGAAGACTAAAAAACATGTCTATCAAAATCAATAATATCTACATCAATCTGTTAAGAGATAGGCAATATAAGATTACATAAATTGAAGCCAAAATATAGGCCAAATGTAGCGGGTGTCAGGGGTGGAGTTGAAATGTAGAATTAAATAGTTTGTTGTCAGTGTTTGTTTCTAGTTTTTCTTTATAGTCAAAGAAAGGTTGTCATTTGTTTAAATAACTTGTCATACCATTAAGATGTTTTTGTAAGTCTCACAATAACCACAAAGCAAAAACAAATCACAGACATACAAAAAGTAAAAAGCACTGAATTTAAACATGCTTTGGATAAGAGAAAAAAAAATCTCTTAACCAAAAAAAGAGACAATAATAGAAGAAGAAAGAAATAGAGGTGATAGAATAAAATCGAAAAATGACATTGGTAAATCCTTACCTATCAATAAGAACATTGAATGTAAATGTACTGAGTTCTCCAAGTAAAAGTTATAGAGTGACTGAATGAATAAAGAAACAAGACCAAACTATATGCTGCCTTTGAAGAAAACTGCTTCATCTATAAAGAAACCACATAGACCAAAAATGGAGTTATGGAGAAAGATACAAGTTACTCCTGTTCATTTAGTTTCATTTAAATAGAAACCAAAAGAACAGGAGTAACTTACTTACATCAGAACATAACAAACAGGTCTCTGTGTACCCCATGCAGGAGAATTTAAGCCTTTAAAGCAAGCACCAGTAAATCTTGAAAGAGAGAGGATATTAGTATTACACTTTCAGTAACAAACAAATCATCCAGACAGAAAATAAACAAAGAAACATCAGAGTTAAGTAGTTACACATTTGATTAAGTAGGCCTAATTGAAAGTGACAAAGTATTTCACCTAACTGGTGCAGAATACACATTCTTTTCAACAAGATGTGAAACTCTCCAAAACGGAACATATGTTAGGTCAGGAAAAAAGTATCAACAATATAAAAAGTCCAAATTATATCGAGTATCTTTTCTAACCACAATGAAACAAAATTATAAATCAATAAGAAGAGAAATCTTAAAAACCACAAAAACATATGAAAGTTAAAAAACATGCTCTTGTATGACCATTTGTTCAAGGAGGAAATTTAAAAAAAAATTCTTAAAAAGACATGAATATGGAAACACAACCTATCAAAATCTATAAAATAGAGTAAAAGCTGTATTTATACAGGTATGTACAGTTATATACAGGTATGTTTATAGCATTAAACATCAACATCAAAAAAGAAATACTTCAAATTAACAATTTTAAGATGCAACAAAAATAAATAAAAAAGCAAAAGCAAATCAAACCCAAATTTAGCAGAAGGAAAATAATAATAACAATCAGAACAGAAAAAAATGTAAAATTGAGATTGAAAATACAATACAAAAGATTAATTAAAAGACTAGTTGATATTTTTAAAAGATATGCAAAATTGAAAAATCTTAAGCTAGACTTTGAAACATAGGGAAGATATAAATATATAAAATTAGAAATTAAAAAGAACTCATAACAACATATTACAAATGCAAAAAATTCATTAGATACTATTATAAATAACTAAACATCAAAAAATTGAAAACCTGAAAAACATGAATTAATTGCTAGCCATGAATTAATTGCAAGGCCAAGGAGGCTGAGTCATGAGAATTGAACATAAGAGGTGGAGGTTGCCATGAGTTGAGTTTGCACTATTGCACTCCAGCCTGGGCAACAGAGTGAGAGTCCATCTCAAAAACGAACAACAAAAACAACAAAAAAAAAAAAAAAGAAGAAGAAAAGAAAAGGTAAGCTACAGGCCTATATCCTTGATTTACATATTTGGAAAAATCTCAACAAAATACTAGCCAACTAAATTCAACAACATGTTAAAGCGATCATTCACAATTATCAAATGGGATTTATCCCAGGAATGCAAGGATGGTTCAACATATGCAAATCAATGAAAGTGGTAAATTGCATTAACAGAACCAAGAAAAAAAGACTATTTTAATAAATTCTAAAAAGCATTCAATAAAATAAAATTCAATGTTCCTTTGTAATAAAAATATTCAACAGAATGGGTATAGAAGTGATATACCTCAAAAGAGTAAAGGCTACATAAGTTCAAGAGTTTGATGAAAACAAATTTTTCATATTATATGACTCAGTTTACATGAAATGCTCAAATCAGGCAAATTTGTATAGATAAAAATTAGATTAGTTGTTGAAGGTAGGACCATTATGTGACAGAATTTGATACAGATTTTGGGGGACATGCTATTGTTTGAATGTGTGCTCTAAAAGTTTCTGTGGAAAACTTAATTTCTCTTTCCTCATAAATAGATTAAAAGATTAATAAGGGCTCTATCCTCATTAATGGATTAATGTCATTTTGACAAGAGTGGGTGTTTTATCTGAGGAAGGGCTCTGTGGCAAAAGTGGGCTCTCACTGATTTTCTTGTTCTTGCCTTTTTGCTTTGTAATCTCTCCCTTCTGTTATGATACAGCAAGAATTCTCTCACAACATGTCAATGCCATGATCTTGGACTTCCTAGTCTATGGAAATTTAGTCTAAATAAAATTCTATTCTTTATAGAGTACCTAGTCTGTGTTATTCTGTTAAAACAACAGAAAACTGACTAAGAGTGTGAGGAGATGACAATAATATTTGAGAATTAGATGATGGTGATAGTTGCATGAGCTTGTAAATAACTAATTGTATTGAGTTACATATGTTAAAGGGGAGGAATATTTATGGTAAATAAACACAATCTCTGTATGTACATATACATATATATAGGGACTCTTGTTTTCTTCAGAAGTATTTATGCTTATGGATAAAGAGTATCATTTTGATGTTGTAGCTTTGGAATCAATCTTTCTGGGTTTGAATACTGGACATCTGTTTCCTAGTAGTGTGATAGTAAGCTAATTACATAACCTCTTTAAGTTTCAATTTCATTATCTATAAAATAGAAAAGAAAAATGCTATTATGACAAGATTTTTCTGGAAATTACACTATATGTTAATAAAAGATCTGCCAGTCTACAGACATTAGATATCATTTCATTTATTTGTGTCTTCTTCAATTTCTTTAATCAATGCTTTATCATTTTCAGTGTACAGATATTTCACATTTTTGCTTAATTTTTTCCTATGTATTTTATAATTCTTGATAAAATCATGTTTTAAAATTATTTTTCTAACAGTTTATTGTTAAGATATAGAAACACAACTTATGTTTGTATAATAATTTTGGAAATTGCAGCTTTTCTGAGTTTATTCATTATAATGTCCACAATGCCCAAAGCAATCTATAGATTCAGTGCAATCCCTATAAA